TGGCCAGAGAAACCTAAAGTCTTTGGATAGTTATTCAGAAGCGTCAACAGAGCAACAGCACGTTATGTCTTCCAAATTAAGTGAGCACATCGAAGGAAGAAAACTAACGAAAGATTCGGCCTTGAGTCCTAAAGTACCGCTTCAACTTTCCAGTACTCTGACATCCAATCCATTTGAGCATGCAGAACAGCCAGAATCCAATCAAAGCATGTTTTATGGAGCTGTTTTCAATAACTGTTCTATCAACTTTGGTAGAGATCATCATGCTTTGGCGGTTGAACCATCCCCCAGTTTTAAGAAGAAATTCAAGAGAATTGATCCATTAAACAGCGACGATGAGCTATGAGAACTAGTGAACTCACTAAGCTTTTTGTTTTTTGCTGGAATTCGTCTTCATGATTCTAACTTTTCAAAACTTTTGATTGTTAGTAAACTCATTTTGAATCGATGCGAAGTGTGATTTTACGAAGATCATATCTAGTTTGACGAGTTTCATGTCAGTTGTCATGTAATTTGCCTATTGACCAATAAGATTAAAGGCACTTAATGGGTTTCCTTGTGTTTACGTTTTTTCTGAGATAGCGTGCGGACCTTGAAAACTCAAAAAATACTGATGAACTCGCTCAAAAAGGGACAAATACATATTAATTTTCAATGTCGTATAATAAATAACTTATTTGGGTTTTTCCCGTAATACGGGCTGATATTTTACTCATTACTCGTATTTTTCCTCGTCCCTACGGGACTCGGAAAAGTACATTCGCAACTCGTAAAATATCAGCCCGTATTACGGAAAAAAACCCAAATAAGATATAAATATTTACTTTGTTATACAGTAATTCACGCTTGATCTGTTATTAAATGTTGTTGAAAATGATGACAGGATGTCATCGAAACGTCCAGCAATAGACCTTATTCGTGGTGTGACAATATTTTCCCAATTCAGCGTGACAAACCTCTGGGGGAATGAGGAGCTATTGTTTTGAAACTCGTCGAGATATCATCGTTATTCCTTTCGTACCCTTTGGGATACTCATGAATTTTTTCGAAGAGTAAAGACAAAAGAAAATGAATCCCCTGGAGGTTTGTCACGCTGAATTGGGAAAATATTGTCACACTGCGAATAAGGTCTATTCTTGCGCTTATACTGTATTTGTCTATACATTAAATAAACAAGACAAAAAATAAATAGACGCTTGGATATGAAATATGACATTCATTTCCTTCGGCGGTTCGAACTCAAATTCGCCAATCTCACCTGCTCGCTTCGCTCACTCGTGCTAGAGATATCTATTAGAACCCGCAGAGATAAATATAACATATCTTTGCCTATTTTATCTATCATTCTCTGTATATGACGACGTTGATTGCTTTATTAAAACCCATCAAGTAAAAGGGATTTACTATCTTGCCACATGTCTAGACTATTTTCATCGGTAAGCCGGTTTTCTGTGAATCCAACCACCTGCTCGCTTCTAAACCATTAAATTTTTACTAAGCGAACTAAAATCGTTAATTAGCCTTTATAAGCCTTTTCATAATTTAAGAATCGATTCCACTGCGCATGCGATTTTATCCCGAATTTCTCACCTTCTTTTGTCTAAACCTTCTTTTATTCTTAATTAAACGAAAGAAGGTGAGAAATTCGGGATAAAATCACAGGCGCAGTGGAATCGATTCTTAAACTATGAAAAGGCTTATTCTGCCGATAAAAAGATATCTGATATAATATGTAATGTTAGAATAAAAGACTTTTAAAATGTCGTGCAATGACGTCAATTGTTGAGGCTTCCTATCGATAACAGTTGTAAAGAGCTTTTACCTGTGACGTCAATCGTATGGGAAAACTACTTTCCGGGTCCAAACGAGAAAGCAGTTCTGTAAAAAAAAAAAATTTAAC